ATTTCTCTCGGTTACATTGCCCTTGCTGAATCCCTACCAGGCCTCTCACACCCTCCTTGCCACTAATTTTGGATCACTTGTTGCTCCCTTGTCCCTGGGTTGGTCAACATCACCTCCTTACTCATGCCTCCCCCTCTCTCATGTCCCTCCGGAACCATCTGTCCTGTTGTTTTCTCTCCAGACTGTTCATTCATCCAGCCTATCTTATCTAGATAGATCTGCAGAGATAATAATATGCACCCAAAAACAAAGCATAGCAAGACAAAGCGACAAAAGAAGACACAATGATGACAACAAAAGAAAACCAATGACCAAGAAAAGAATAAATAAATTCTTTAAAAAAAATTTTTTAAAGAAAGAAAAACCTGTGAATAGCTCAAAGTCTGATTTTTGACCTCCAGGCGTGTCCTCCAGTCCAGTCCGATGGAATACCACCCTTTCGCCCCAGAGTCTATCCTTTACACTTCCTCGGGAGCTCCCTGCTCTGCTCCCCCTGTTGCTTTGCAGCAAGCCTTTAGTGTTTTGCCTCGGTGTCCTGGGGTCAGTCTGGGCCAGTCCCGACACTCAGTCTCCATTGTTGTCCCTTATAGGGCCATGGGTCAGCGAGGGATGTCGTGTCTTATGGTGGGATCAGCCATATGATCCACTCTGTGCATTGGCTGTTCGGAGTGGGGATATCGTCCTCCAGGCCTAGTGGGCCAGGATGTGCTCCACTCTCTCTTCCTCCCCATTCATTTGCTCCCATGTGCTTTCATCAGACATGTTCCCCTCCCCTAGCTGCAGCTTCAGTGCCGTTCTCTAAAGTAAATTCTTCTGGTGGGAGGGGCAGTTGTTCATGTAGCTGGTATGGGGGCTGAGCCCTCAGGCCCCTCCCCGCAGGCCCCTCCACTGGCTCCCCTCTCCATGCCTGCACGCTGCGTACATAAAATATTTTGTCTTACATGAGAACACATCCATGCACTTCTGAAGAAAGCACATGAATGTGTATGGCTGCCAACAGTCTAGTCCTTCTCGTTCAGAACTCTGACCAAATGTTACAGAATTTTTAAAAAGTAATTCCTCAAATAATTGGTCATGTGTGCATTTTCATTGGCTAACTCCTGGAAGTAGGTCACCAGACCTAATATTTGTCTGGAAGCTCCCCTGAAGCTAACAGCAGCATCAACAAAATCCCTATTGCATTCCTACGGTGTGCCAGCCAGCACAGCATGACAGACTGACAGATTTGTGGCTCATGGTTCTTGCTAGTATCAAATCTTTTAAGATAAAATTTGCATTTGCTGTAGTCCAGGGAATAGCTGGAATCTATTCATTGGCGTTTAAGGGTAAGTCTGTACGTGAACTTAGAGAGGGGTGTTTCCGAGACTCAAAGCTAGTGGCAGCATTGAGCTAGGTGAGCTGGGATTTGGAGGGTACTGCTGGAGGAGGTGTCTATCTTTTTTCTTTGAGGTCTTCATCAACCTGCATGAGAGTAAGTTCCTTGAGGTCCCATAATACCTGTATGTATTTCATTTCTAGTTCTACTTATCACAGTGCCTAGTACATGGTAGACCATAATATTTTAAATCAATAAATAGACAGATGGCTGGGCGGATGGATGGATAGATAGATTGATAGACAGACAGACAGCCTCACTAAAGTAGGATGTGAGCATTGACTTTGTGAACTATGTTATACCAATTGACCTACATGTACCTCAAGACAGTGGTCTGAAGTCTCAAAGCCCGGTGACTCAACTCCCTCAAGGTTTGTAGTGATGTCGAAGGGTTTTGTACGGATTAAAGCCGCCTGTGTGTTCCAATATATCCTTGGACATATATATAGCATCTAAATATATTTGTGGAAGTATCCTCAGCCAAACCTATCTGCGCACCTTGCTGTCATCCCATGGCTGTTCAGTGTGCATGCCTGTCTATGCAGCTGCACATAGATATCTTTGGTTGTGACTGTACTGCAGATTGAGTGTATGGCAGTATCATCTTTATCTTTTACTCCCATGCACCGCCTGGTAATCTTCTTTGCCAGTGGTCATGTTGTGACCAATTTAAT